TTGTAATGTTATTATTGTTGTTGAATAGAACCACATAGATTTATCACAAAATTGCCGCCTTTTTGCTATCTCTGAAGCATTTTTAACTGTGCTTCTCTCAATGGAGTTCTGGACAGCTGTACAGTAGGACGCAAAGAACAGTTCCCAGCGTTCACACCACAATCAGTCGGTTATGGTCATTACACAAGGAAATATAGAAATGATATGTTATGGGTCGAGTAACTAGGCTCATATGATTGTAAATGAAAAATTATACACAAAAAATTCTACAAATGATAGAGAATCATATTGTATTTTTCTAGATTACCAATAAATTAAATTAAATGTCAAGTGATCCACAACGGAAAACTCACTCGGCGAGGCGTTTAGAGTAAACACAGGAGTCAGACAAGAGTGCTGGCTGATTATCACCAATGATATTCCTTATTGTGGTGGACTGGATTATGCGTCAGACAGTGGGAAACGAGGAGACAGGGATATCCTGGGCCGACGTGAAGAATCTAGAAGACCTGGATTTCGCGAGTGGATGATTTATGTTTGATGTCACACAAAATCGAAGACTTACAAGCGAAAACCGACCGACAAACTGGTCGAAGAAGCAGCCGGCGAAGACAGGACTCCAGGTGAACATAGACAAGACGGAAGTCATGAAAATAACCAACCAACAACAAGAACAACAACAGCAACATCCAGTGCCAATCACCATCAACGGGAGGGATTTGAAAGAGGTTACCTCATTCACTCACTTGTCTAGGGAGCATCATCTTAACTACAGGCAGTCGGAACGGACGAGGATGTCAAATCGAGCGAGAATCGGGAAGGCGAGAAACACATTCATCTACCTGAAACCGATCTGGAAATCTTCGTCACTCAGCACCAACAACAAAATTCGGTCGGATTTTCAATACAAACGTCAAGTCAGTCAGCTCCTCTATACGGATCACAAACTTGGCGGGCTGGTCACAAAGAATATTTCCAACAGGCTATTGTAGACCTTTATCAACAACTGTCTTCGCTCTATACTGAAGATCAGATGGCCGGGCCGGAAAGAATCACTAACAAGAAACTATGGGAACAAACAAACAAAGAACTAATCGCCCAACAGGAGAAAGTGGAGATGGATTCGACACTCGCTGAGGAGGCCGTTGGGTGATGTCACGCGTCAGGCCATTGCTCGAGTGGAACCCGAAAGGGAAGCGGCGAGTGGGACGTCAGTGCAAAGGTGACATGGAGGAGGTTGTTTGAAGAGGAGTTGAAACAGTATGGGCTAACATGGATGCAGGTGAAAAGTACAGCAGAATACAGAAACAAGTGGAGACGTGCAGTTGAAGCTCTATGTTCCACTCGGAACTCAAAGGAACAATAATAACAATAACCATTAAATTTTGAATGTTGTATTAAAACTCCTTCATCAGAGTTATTACATTTTTTGGAGTTGGTTTGAATTTTATCACTGTGTTGGATAATTTTTAATGATATTATGCACAACTTAATCTCTGAAGTGAGGAAAAAGGCAGATTTAATCCTAAACAGCACAAGAGTATTATTTCGGGACTGATGTGTACAGCATGTTGTTCATAGTACTGCTCATGTCTTTCAATAATTCTACATTTATATAAACAATACGATTTATTTATCTAATCTTTCACCTTATCCAGAGTCCTCCACCCATTCACGTCGCCTGATGTTTTGTGACGACAGAGTAATATGTAAGTAGTTGCTTTCACATTCAGCGGTTGTCCTCTATTTGATGACAGCAGGTAAGTCGTAAAGCATTTAGCTAGCGAAAAAAAATACTATACTAGTAAAAGAGAATTCACTAATGTCTTACGCTGACTAGTTCAACATCTATAAAATGTAACAAAATGAATTTCTAAATAGGGGATTCCTTTTGTGTCATGTCGAATTACAACTACCAAAACCAAAGTATTTTGTAACAGTTCCATCTTTTTTTCAAGTGAAAAACGCTATGTTTCTATGATAATCTCTATGTCAAATGCAATATAATACAATTTGAAATTCTATTTAAAAAAAAAACAACTAATGACTGCCTATTTTGTATAAAACTATATTAAATACATTAAATTTACACCTCGATGCTTTTCGCCTATTTTAAATGTTCTTATAATTTTTCCTCTTATGTTACTTTATTTTGTTTTTTTCGCATCGGAGATGAGTCTTCAACTTTCTTACATACTCTTGTATAAATTTCGATTGTCACTTAATTCATAAATTGTATGTGTTGGGGTTTTGTTGTTTATATCATTAACTCCTGAATGGTGCATTCCGTCGACTTGATAAGCTTTTATACAGACATGTCAACACACACACACACACATTAACAAAAGACTATAAAAACACGCGTGAAATTAGAGTCAATTGATAAAGAAAAGGAGATCTAAAAAGGAGTGTTAATTTCTTATTCTTATACTACTTTTATACACGTGAGTGAATTAAATTAGTATAACTCAGTATACTTAAAATGGCTATACACAGGTGTTGGTTGGCTACGTAAAACAGGCACTTTTATGCTTATAAATTAAGCAGTTTTGTATGCGTAGTGCTACTTAATTTTCATTCTCGGCTTTAGTTTGTAATTATCGAAATTTTTACCGACTAGTTCATTGAGTGATGCTTACTTGATTTGTTAGTTAGTGAATCTCCTATCTTAATCGTTTGTCATTTCATTCACTTTCAAGATTATTTATCTACATCAAAGATTTGAGATTTTACTGAAGAGTGTTATCATGTCTTTAAACTGGTTGTAAACAAACCAAGGTACTGAATAATGATTCTGCAATTGCATATGAACATCATGTTATTTCCTAAACTGTATATTCCTCTAATATATACAAGTGATCAGTTTATATGTCACTCACCAACTTATCATTTCGAAGTGACTGTTCAGTTCTCTTTTTATTTTGAAGTGCTGAGAAAGCAGGGATTTCGCAAACATACGACACAGTCAGGTTGATGTGGGAAAATTATAACAATGGAGAATGAATTCGAAGATCAAAAAAGATTAGACAAAATATTTGGCAAAAGCTGATTATAAATTACTATGTACCAATTTAAACATTATCATTTAAAATTGATGGACATAGGGAGTGTGGAAACAATTTCTCGCAACACAACTTCAGTCTAGATGAATAGGGAATTCTAGTATATTCCTCTTCTTTAGGGGAACTGTTTGACTGCATAGAGTGTATTCATCAGTTTCATGATTTATCTTCAGTTACCAGAGTCCTTACAGACTCTGAGTCCACTTGGAGTTGAATGCTACTATTAGAAGCAAACGAATAGCGAAAAAGGAAAATCTTCAGAAGCAATTTCATGTATTTAGAGTTTTTCACATTTTTGATAACTGATTACTATTTATCTGCAGACTGTAATTATTTCTTTCTGCTTTTTTTTACATGGAATAAAAAAAATTACGTTTTATAAGAAATTTATGGGGAAAAAGGTATTAAAAGTAGGTGATGGCTGTATTACTTAGTTAAATATACTTTCTTTGAGAGGTAGTTAAGTATTTCTTATACTAGAAAATAGGTCGAAGTTACGGAAGCATTATTTGTAGGTGCTTATCTACATGCGTGGTAAAAGTAGATATCACATGGAAGTGAAATGAGAAAATATTTTTATTTTGTTATCTCATTCTCTGCAGATCTATATGTTTCCTAGCTTCAGATCTCGAACATAGTTTCTTCAACAGTACACAGCGTGGATATAAGAAAGACGTAATGATTTTCAATACAAAGACTAAAATATCCTTAAAAATGAATAAATCAGACTTGACGCTTAACGCATCATAGTTTCGTTCCTTTTGACCTTTCTACTGGTTGCTGACTTCATCATTGTATGATTGGTGGTTGCAGAATAGTTAATCTTAGATATTTTAAGGCCTACAGAGTAGAAACTGTATCATTGGGTCTCCTTTAACAAGAAAATACATAAAATAAAAAGCATAATTCACTAAGGAGTATGGTAATTAAAAATTAGCTTTTTAGCAACCAGAACTATTTTCGAACTGCTGTTATGTTCGTTCAGAAGATATTGGGTTCTACCTTGACTTCCAGTTTATTTTGCATACTAGTAAGTACTGTAAACATTAGGTATATAAATTTCCTTTTGCATACTGATTTTTACTGTAATAAGAAATAACACATGAAAAAACTGAAATTAAAAGGTGAGCTTTACTTACAAAATTTTATGGTAGCTAAATAATTCATTTCATTTAATTTTTATCCTGTGCGTCGGTGGTACAGCGGTTAGGAGGCTCACCAGCCATGCACATAGTCCGGGGTTCCCTCCTCAGCCGACGCACTTCTTTACCTCGCTAAGCCAGATATAAAAGCTGGTAAAGAAGAAAGGTTGGGCAAGAGGCTAGCGACCCCACCCTGTATAAATAAACACTGCTACAGAAACTTCAAGCCTGTAGCTTGAAGCCCTGTGTTCCACTGGGAACGTGAAGGAACAAAAAAATTTTATCGTAATTTTCAAAACAAACACTGATATTTCAACTAAGACAATTTATATCACGAAACTAAACGCATGGAAGTCAATGTCAGAGTTTTTCTGTGATAACAGAAATATTGTTGCATAGATACTTAACGGGTTATCCAAACTGTATTTCCAAATATGCTAGGATGAATTGAAGAAAGATAAAAATTCTATTTCTAAAACGTTTTTACTTCAACTGATCAGGTCACTATACTGAAAACTATAGAAATGAACAGTTAAACAGTTGACTGAAGATGCCCATTCAAATCTCACGAGGTATTATTTTCCTTTTGTTCATCTTCAGGTAAACTATGATCAAAGTTAAGAAGTTTTTCTAAATAGAATGAATCTACTGTGGCATTTTAAATGAAAAGACACCACAGTTATGTGAAACTAGTTAGAGAATAGATGATAGATTTATTTTATGAATGAACAAGTTCCTAATAAACAGAAGATATACAACGTATATGACATACTAGTTAACTGATTATTTTACTTACTTCTTCAGCGTACTGCATTGATGCAACTGCAATCGAAAGACTGGCGGCTACAACAGACGATGCATACAGTAAACAAATTGTCTGACGATCATTTTGTCTACAAAATAAATGAATAATATGAATTTTGTTTTTGATATTAAAAGGCTTGTAAGTGAAATAATTAACTAAATGAATACACTGATAAACTCATTATTATTATTCGGTATTGATGATTGAAAGATATTTACGGTTAGCATAGTGGAGAGAAAAACAAATCCTTGAGCTTAGCTTGCACTTCTACTTTGATTCGCTTTCTTGAAAACTGCAGATTCGCTGAAATGCTTTTATTGTTATTGAACAACAGGTATTTTATACCTTGGCATTAAATGACAGGTCAAAAACAATTCAGCAGAATTCTGCTGAAGAGGTTGTGGCAGGCATTTCTGCAGCGTTGATGGAACTCATGTCTATTCTGAGTTCCTCCAAGGTTACAGATATGCCTTGTTGACGAGTGCCAATTGGCACGAAACCTGGGTCCAAGGCTTCCTGCCGACTGCCTCCAACCATCTATTATCAACAATTCAAAGTGCACTATAATGACAAGCCACCTGGAATAGTGGCCACATTGCAAAACTGACTGATAGAGTTCAGTCTGCACTAAAGACAGGACTAGACTGGTTATAATAGTTACCAACTAGCGTTCAATCAAAAGTATTCAATACAGTCCGACAGGAGGCAAGGGATAAAACTCTGGATCACGTGCATGGCTAGCAAGTTTGAAACCGCTGGACTACTGGTGCATTTTAATTAGCGCGACTGGCATAAGACTCCCTTTGTAAATTTTATTATCACATAATGTGAGTGAATTTAACGGAACGGTATTCTGTAAATCAGAGAGATGAAAATATATAATGAATAATGCATATTGATTCTTGCTGATGTAGGTTGTGAGAACAGAATGTTTGTTATTATTAAGTAAACGCCTTAATTATTGTACTGAGTCAGACAAAAGTGAGTGAGCCATTAACATAAAAGTTGTAAAAAATAAATTATGCCTTAAGACAAATTACAGAAGCATTAAATGTTTCCCTTCTCTCAATCACACGCTTTAATACATCTATAAATCTTATTTAGCGATATTAAGTAATGAATAATTTCAGTCCATATGACTTTGATAGTAACATGTAACCGAGGGACTGGTAGTCAAAAAAATTTTCACAAGTTTAGAGCGGAGAGTAAGAATTTGGTTTTTTACAGTTTGTAAAAGGCAGTAAGTAATTAACTGATACAGCTTCACAAATCCCGAGAACATGTTTATGGGAAAGATTCTTAATTTTACAGAATTTAAAAAGGTTAAATCACATTTTGGAGTGCATTCCTCGTTTTGGAAAAGAGTGATTTTTTGATTATTTGCAGCAGCTAAAAAGCTTCAGATTTTCTGCTGCACTGTATCGAATGTCGTGAATATTCTGCGTATATTTACAAAATTTCCTGATAGATAAGACAATAAGTTTAGAACAGTCATATAGTACACCATATAAGCAAAGCTGTTGGTTAATTGCCGAAATATATTCGTGATGAGCTATCTAAAACGAACCGTAAGTCGTCCACTCCGCAGAAGTAACACAGTAGTCGTAGTAATATTTGAACATTTGAAAATTAACAATGTTTAGCTTTCAAACAGATGTTCTGATGGTATGTACTTATGGCTATTCATCCACAATCATATATGAAGTCGAATGTGACTATACATCATACGAATTCCCCGTCAAATTTCAGACTCATTGGCACTCAGATTCAGTGATTTCACTCAAAATTGTACTGATGAGTATCATGATCATACGTTTCGAATTTAAAATCCTACTAATCATTCATGAATTCATCAAAATTGGTGATAAAGCCTTCAAGATCAGGTGTGCATGCCCAGAGAAAATGTCATGATACAGAATAAATACTCTACGTAATAATAAAAGATCGGTAGCATAGTGTCCTATCTGGAGATATTCGTTTATCAAGCTAGTGATATTTTAGTCTAAACAGTGACAAAAATGTGTTCAAATCAGGTAATTATTATTCGCTGAGGGTATTTAGGTTTAACAATATCACAATACGATTCCAAACAACCCGCAAGATGAAAATATCACGACGAAGTGTGATTATCACGCTTCTAGCTAGATGCTAAATAAAAATTCATTTGCTGTCATTAGAACAAAATAAACTGTTGTTCAGTTGAAGTATCTTTTTGTTCATGTAATTACTATATCTGTTGTACACCAGAATGTAATGTACTCTTAAGCGGCAAGTAAATTTTAGTGTTGATTCAGACTACTGCGAAAAATTATAACTGACATTAGAATTTTTAAATGAAAAACACTGAAAATGTTAAGAATGAAGCATTTCGCTTGTCTGTGAATGTAAAATTTCCAAAAAAGAAGCATGCTGAAAGAATCAAAAGAAAGTCAACTTATTTTCGTCCGCAAGATACAACTATTTTCAAATAGTGTCAAGCGGATCCTCTTACTGGACTATCAAACCCCCTAAAATCTTGAGTGTTTCTTGACAACCTTTAAAATAAGCATATCTTCGTGAAGTGTGTTGCAGATACTAACAATTAGTTATCCTGAAGAATAAAGTATAATATTTTAACAGAAATTTACGACTACTAAAAATATAAAAGCACGAAAGTAGTCTTAAGAGCAATCCTTGCAGCCTTTTTGAAAATATTCATGAGCTTATTTTCTGTTACCTTTCATAATTAAGTCTATAACCAATACTGAGTTTATCAGAGTTGTTTTTATATACATCGTCCACTTCTGAATAATACTTCAACGGAGATCATGAAATTAGTTAAAATCCAATACATATTGTAACCTGATCCATATATTGTAGTTCTCATAATCGCATTATATATATTGCTGCAGTAAAATCCAACTAATCATAATCTTTTATTTATAATCAAAGTTTTGATTATAAGTTGTATGCTCTAATAGTCCTTGTGAAAAATAAAACCATATTTCATTTATTGGGTGTACACTTTTCAGGAGGCTGCAAGTAAAATTTGATTTTACCTGAATACATATATTTCATATGTTTTCTTGTGAATAGTGAACTAATAACATTAAACACAAACTATGGTTTAAAACTATATTCGAATTATTTACAATGGGTGTAAAACTTAATTAACTAGCGTAAAATGTAGTTCGGTTGAAAATTTTTCAGTGGTCTGACTATCGTTTCATACGTGCCTATAGCTTTCAGAAAACATTTTGCAGTTTACTATATATATATATATATATATATATATATATATATATATATAGCACTCTATGAGGCCTTGACTGTAAACAAGGATATCAGTGTCTGTACGAATTTAGCAAACAGTAGGCGACCATTCTGTGCGTTGAAGTTTTTATAGCGATTTAGTTGATTTTCCCGGGCAGGGTCTCTAACCCAATACTCAACCTTCCTTCTTTTTTCGGGATTAGAATCAGCTAGTAAACTAGATGACGTTGCCAAAAACATTCCAAACAGGCTTCAGACTTTCATCAACAGCTGTCTTCGCTTCATACTCACGGTCAGATGAACAGAAAGGATTATCAACAAGAAACTCTAGCAACGAAGAACCCGTCGCTTTACAAAGAAAGAAAACAGAGATGGTTTGGACACACGCTGAGGAGACCATAGAGTTACCACACATTTGAAATCAACCCTAACAGGAAATGACAAGTTGCGAGTCTGCTAAACATGACTGCAGAAAACAAGATGAAATGCAGATGTCCTGTGGGAGCCCTATGTTCCACTCGGAACCCAGTAGAATAATATATATAGGGATATATAATAATAGTAAAAAATAATATAATAGTAAAATGAATAGAAGCACTGTATGAAACATCCTTTAAAAAATAACAACGAGTTATTATATCCTCTATTTACATATCCTCTGATTTCCATGCCATCGATGATGACGATGATGATGACGACACAGATGGGATTTACAAATCCTGTTAGTTTGATTGACTGGTTTCATATTCCATGGGATAATGAAACAGAGAATAAAGTCAATAAAAAATAAACAAAAAACGAAACCTCTTGTTTATGAAAGTCAGGTTAAAAAATATCACATTTTTACGGGGAGGGGGAGGGAGGGAGAAATATGAAGAGCTGAAGAACATGTTTGAATAAATCTTCCTTACGAAAGTTGATTAAGATGAACAAAATGTGACTGAAGTCTAAATTAGTCAATAAAAAAGGAATGAATTGTTTGTGTGTGGGTATGTGTATGTATATTAGGTAAACTAAATGACATTAATTCTTCATTGCTTTTTTCCTGTCACAAATCTCACAAGAAGAAAAAGAAAAAAAACTATAGTGAAATGAACTATCGAGAGTGAAATTTCAAACAACAAAGATGTGATTCACTTTGATTATATGCATGGCGAAAAGAGAAAACATACATATATGTAGCATAGTGAGTAAAAAAAAGTGTTTCAGATTTCATTTTTAAACTAAAATGGACTTAATTATATTTTATCCAATGTATTTTATCTTGTAGATAAAAATTGTGTGATGAAGAAACGCTTGAGAATAAAAATGAGGAAAAGTCACATACAAACTACTTATTTCTTTTTTAGAAAAAAAAGGCTTGATCACGGTTTTTATTACTTCATTTTAAAGAATTAGTGTAGAAATTAGACCTTTTAAACACTTTCATACTCATTAACTTCTTATTTAAGATAATGAGTTTATAACTTGTGCTGAAGTGAAGTCTGAATATTCATACAGTTTTTGCATGGAAATGAGAATTTTGTTCAGATTCATAATAATTTCAGGCTTTAAACATTTAAGGTATGCATATTACTGAATAGAATGAGATAAAACACTTATCATCACGTAAATCTGTGGTCTCCTGTTTAATACATATTAATGCTGTCATTTAAAAAGCCTTCATTTTATTAAATTAAACGGGATCTTGAGAACTATCCAAAAATGCGTAATAATGAAAAGCTAATAGGTATAATGCAGAAATCTAAGATTAAGGGTTTTCATACCTTTGAGTAAGATTAATTAACACAGTAGAGTAAAACTATTCAATCAGTCAAACAAAAATTAACGAAGGAA